GGTTAGGTGGGGGGGACCATTTGCCTTGCCCCCTAAGGCCCCTTGATTGGTCCCTACAAGCAAGCACAAAACCGGCACATGGGCTACTATAGTGGCAGCCAGCTAGCGTGCCAGCTAGCACTCCCTTGCTACCCAACATCCTCATCGCGCGCACGCACGCACAAGCCCACACATCATCGCTACTGCTGCTTGCTAGCCAGCACGCACTGGCACTCGTATACGCACACGCATAAGGCATTGCCTGGCATGCTGCTGTGCGAGGCTGCTGCTGGGATGGTGCGAGGCACACACGCACACGCACATACGCCTGTGCCTAGCACTGCGATGGCTGTGCTTGGTGCGTGTGGCCTGCCATGGCTTACGATGGCCCTAGGCACATGCACAAGAACACACACGCATAGGCCTAGCCATGCGATAGTGTTGTGCATGGTGCGTGTGGCCTGCGATGGTGCTGCCATGTGTGCCTAGGCATGGTGCTAGGGCTGCGATGGCGCCTAGGCACCCTTGGCACGCATGGTGCACCTAACACATCATGTTGACCCGGCCTAGCTTAGCATCCCACATGGCTAGGCCAGTGCGGTGCTACGACTATGCTTATACTTGTCGCTTGTGATTTTGCGACGCTCGGCCTCGACGCACTAGGCTCGATATCCGACGTCTGTATTCGTAAAAATCTGTCGACTCATTAAATCCTTTCGGATTAATTCGTTGTCTCGGATCGGTGATTTGATTGGGTTCGACCCGAAGGTTTCAGTTAAGATTAAGCTGTAATATTAATTATACCTTAATATTACTGATCGGAAGCGGCCTCCACCTAGGCATTCCGATCACTTGACCTTACTGAAGAATTAGCTCTGTAATAATTCTGAACCCTCTATCAGAATAATACACTTGTTGGAAGGACACCATTCCTTTCATTCTATACATCGCAGACTTAAATAATCAATCCATCATAATCCAAAATATATCACTTTCATTCTACACCATCAATACACCTTTACCAAACCCTTATACAGCTTGTCCTTTTCTGGATAGGGTGTATTGCACCTTTCTTCCATTAGTTTTCCTTTCAATCTTTTACTCTTACAAAATATATTCAAGCTTTTAGCTCTATGAATATTAAAATCAATCAACCTTTCACAAATTGATCACACTTTGCATTCTTTACTTGATTTTCCTTCATCTCCTCGAACATTGTTGGTCTCAAACTCTAGTTGAACCAAATGTGCTTTACTTATTCTTTTTCCAACAATTTCGAGGATGTTAACCTCCTTATTTCCCATTCACTTCGCCGAGTATCACCAAAGTATCCCTCCTTTACATTGCTTCCCTTTCAACAATATTGAATGTTTTGATCATGGTCTTTATCAATTCCAATCATTATTTCTTTGTGTACATATTCAAATCCTTATGTGTGAAAGTCTACCTCAAACTTTACACTACACTCAAATAATCATGTTTTCCTAAAATCATTTCACACTTATTAATCCCCCAAGAACTTCCAATTACTCTTAGAACTTACATATAGTCTCTTCTCTCTCAACATTAACCAGCTTTATATTGCATGGTCTTTCATTTCTCATTGTTGGAACATACCAAAATATCATCAATGAATTCACTTGATTCCTTTAGTCCATAGAATTAAAATATAGGTGCTTCATCAACCCAAAGGGCAAAAATAAAACTCAAAACGTCCAAATCTTATCATAAATGCCAATTTTGAAATGTCCTCTTTCGAATATTCTTACTTAGTAATTCCTATCCTCAAGTCTAACCTCGAAAATATTGTTGCTCCGATCCTTTCGATTGATCAAACAAATCTCCACTCCAAATTAAAAGATAGTTATTTATCATTGTCACCTTGATCAATCCTCCCATAGGCACTTTACAAACACTTTTATCCTTCCTCTTTTACAATTACATGCGCTCTCCAAGGCGATGTAACCTTCTTTCAACGATCTTGCAATTATACCCTTTAACTCCTCCAGCAATACTATATTACCCTTTCTCCACACACAACAGTGTACTTATCTTACCTCAAACTTTACTCAACATTTATATCCTTTGCTTACATTTCTCCATAAAAACCATCACCTTTCCTCCAACATTCCTTGAATAAATCTATTATGATTCACAATTAATCTCAACTTTAATTACCTCATAAATAATCCATACTTAAATTATATCAACATTTTGCAATCAACTTCATAAATCTTGCCATAGATTTAGTTCTTTATGACCTTCTCATATCCATAGCTTAATAACATTAATGCTTCCTAATATACTATTTTTTTATAATTCAAAATTCCTTAACTTTCAAGAGTTACTCAAGCCACCTTCATGCTTCTTCTCATTTCCAAAATATTCCCTCAAAATATCCTTAGTCATCCTATTAGCCTTTCATCAACCTTCTTTCTCGTTTTGTTTCCTTACCTTTAAACTTAGTTACACTTTTCCTTCAACGAATACATGAGTTGATTATTCATACAATCCAATCAAACTCCCAATCAAAGACTTTATATCTTGACAACTACCATTGAAACTCATAGTTCGGCATCCTTCGACTCATTCCTTGGGCTTTTAAGCAATACCACTACCTTAAAAACCTCAACATCTTAACAACTTGGAGCACTACTCCAAAGCAAGCAATCTTTCCATTTCAACTATAAACTTTATTACCTTTTCCTTCTATCTGCATAAAAGACTGGTAGAACTTATTTTGGGTTTGTTATCTCAAACGTCTCTCAAAGAGGATTGGGTGTATTCACAATTATCCGTTCCCTTTGACATGTTAAAAAAAATTTCTTCCGTTACTTACCATATAAACTTTCATTGACTCTCAAATTCTCAAGACACAAATTGTCTGTAAACAACTTGCATAGCTCTTTAACTCACCTTTCGAAAACTTTGGGAATCGATCTTCTATTGGTATATAGGTGGATTTTCACTTTTCTACACTATCTTGTTACATGTTTCCACCATGGGATATTGGTGATTATATCATTCTTGGCAAGCTATCAAGCCTACCTTACTACCTTTCTTATACCATTTCCAATACTGGAATTATTTCTTGTCACCATACTTTCTTGATGATAAAACTAGTTTCTATATACTTAGGTTGGGTCAAAACACTTAGCTTCTTCTTATTCTACTCAACTAACACCAACCAATAAGCTCAATCAAGACACAATTATTATTTAATTCGAATTAAGGTTTGAGGTAAAATATTTATATCCTCATTCTCGATAATTCGAATGCATAAAATCTTGATTGAAAAACAACCATATTTCATATAATTAAACAAAAATTTAAAAATAAAAATATTCCCATGGACTGCTACTTGAAAAGAAAGAAGAAATGAGTAGCTACTTGGAAAAACAATAAAAATATATAAGGTTGTTGAAAAACTCCAAAAGAGTAGGTGAAGAAATATAAGAGTTCTCCCAAATGGTAGAATTGCTACATATAATGACCTTTATAGAATATAATCATTCTCATAACTTGATGTTAAATAATCAACATTCATAACTTCAACATAACATGTGAAAATATCTTCAACGTTTAACAAGTCGAAAGTCCTCAATATTTCAATAGAATCATAAATTCCCAAGATTCCAATGATTTATTAATATAATATGCTCAATCCTCCATCTCAGAATAAATACTCATGGTCATCAGGAATTATAAATTATTAAGTTCACAATTTCAAACTCCAACCGATTCGAATTGAGTATCCCTTAGCTCATATACTAACTTTCATCATTACTCCTCTCTATAAAATTCTTATGCTCATCTCTCATGGGCTCTTGTTCAATCTCGATCCCAACTCAAGCTCGTGCTCAAAGACAAAACATATTCCTCAAAATGGATATAAAATCACAATTTTTCCCAATTACTAGCTCTTTAACCATTAGTATCGATCTCTTTACTCTTTTACCTTGGTGTCTCAATAGACAAGTGAACAAAACTAAAGTACTCATTCTTAATAAATAGGCAAGGTGTCACAACAACAAACTATCTCAAAACACAATACTCACAACTATGTGATAGTGTGCACCCATTTTTTCTTCCAAAATATTCATCTCAAATAAGAACAATGAAGAAATCCATACTAACATAGGAAATTGATTCTCATAATCCTTTAACATTCCTCAAATTTTTTTATCAAAGAAACTCACTTGGTTTAGCTTCAAGGATCTTGCAAGATAACGGGCTTAACTACCAATAGAAAACCCTTTCCAAAACAATATAATATAGTTCTTACAGAAAATTAAGTTTGGTGTTCAATCATACAATCTTGATAGCTCACATATAATAATAATTCACATATTGCATGCTTTCATCACTTAACACTTAGTCATACAACGTGCTTGAACACCTTATAAAAACATATATATGCACATAGGAAAGAAATTAAATCCTAGTCTATATGCCCTTCCTTCTCCTACCCAAGCTCACCAACATCCTTTTAAAAGCTTTTAATACATAATACTTACCTCAATCCTTGCTTTCCTGCAAAATGAACAAACTAAAAAAAATATTTTTGACTCCTCTTTTAAAATTAATTTTCAAAATAAGCTCAAAAAAGACCAAAATATTCAGCCACTTTACAAAAAAAATTCAAACACCCTAAATTAAAAAAAAATAAAAAATTCGGATGCCCAAACGAAAAAAAAAATTTAGATTTTTCTAAAAATAAATAAATTAATTAATTTTCAGTTTTTCAAAAATTAAAATAAGTGAAAATAACTCTCTTTTAAAATACTTAATTAAACAAGCACTTGGCCAAATTTAAAACAAAACACTTTAAAACACGTCTTTAGTTTTAGTGGTAATAAAAATCTCAACCAAAGCTCCCAGATACCACTTTGTAACACCCTACAAATTCCTCTCCTTTAAAATACTGTTTTCTCCTTTTAAAAATAAAGAATAGGAAAATCCATGACTTTACCGCCACCGTGAAAACGGCTAAGGCAAATATCAAAGACACACAGCGGAAGACTATCTCTTTTTTTGTAAGAAATTCAATGAAATAAAGTTTAATAAAATCAACTCAAATTTTAAAACCAACTTACACTAAAACAATAACTTGGAACCATTAAAGGCCCTTCAAAACCAAAGTAAATATAAACATTAACTAATGTTAGTGTCAACACTTACATAAATAATTTAATACAATAAATAATAAACAAAGAAACATGTAACCCTCTTCGCTCAACCCTATCATGTTTGATATGCTTCATCACCTGAAAGCTTCTCTCTACTTGTCCCCACTACTCGCCATTAGAAATGGGTTGTTGTAGGGCCAAGATAAAGACAAGGCCAAACAAACATACAAACACACAATCAGCAATGCTAAGTACATAAGCGCAATAAAACACACTAACATGCTTTCATCCTATCAACACATAGCTTACCTTGTTGCAGCTGTTTACAAGCATACAAACATTCAAGACTAACCTAGACCAATAACTAGTCCAATTATTTAGCTTGATAACGCATCGAACGGGTTTTCCTCTAAACTTCCCCAATAAAAGGGGTACTAACACGGGAGCTAACCGTGAAAGTATAAAATAAACCACTTATAAGTGGCGGAATTCCTGCGGATAATAAAAAGGAATATACAACGTCCTTTACTCCCAGTAGAAGTTATAGTCAAATATAGTCGCATAACTCCCCCATATGTTCAAACTCAAGGTATATACGTTCCAAGAGTTTTGGTGCGTAATCTCTTTCAATTTACATTATTTACATATTATTAGATTTGGTGATGACTCTCAAATCACAACACAATCAACTATTATAATTTATTCAAACAATCGAACATACCAATTTAGTTCTTGAATAATTAGTGACCACATAATTTAATCGTTGAACCCTTTTTAATCTAGCTCGGTGTCAAAGACACCTTAAACGCATAATGCGCCGCAAATCCTATCCCTCGGTGCTTAAAACACCTTAAGTGCATCTAGACACCAAAATATAATTTAACCCTCGTATACATAGACACTTAAATAGCTCCTTCCCCATACTTATAGCATCAATAAAAATTATATGAACAATAATAAAATTTTCTTTTCATATTCCAACCTAAATCAAACATTTAGTTTAATTATACATGCTCTCTATCATGCCAATAATAAAAGTGTGGTTCATATCCAACATGCCAATATAATTAATTCCAATCACCAATTCACCATAAATAATTCATACATCACAAATCATTCACCAACGTCAATCCAATCAACAAATTCCAATCAACACCTATCATGATACTACTTGGAATTAATTAAACAAAGTCTAGCATGCTTCTACATATTCAAGTAATTACTAAGTACGCGAACGTACCTTAAATCATCTTTCCAACTAGCCACAATGCTAAAAATTACTCAACTTATAGTCTCCTACAATACCAAATACATAAACTCAATTACTCCCTTGATTACACAAATTTCCAACAACTTTTAAACATTTTAAAACCCTCTATAATAAGCTGAAATTTTGGTTTAAAACCTTTAAAACTCTTTCTTTAAGTGGGTAATTAAAACCACAAAGTAAAAACTCATTCATGGTGTTTTTTTAAAAATTCCAGCACACTTTCTAAGGTTTAAACCCTTCAAATAAATATGAAAATTCCATTAAAATCAATTAAAACCTTCTCTACTTATGGGTAATTAACCCTTTTTTATTAAAACAAAAAAGTAGTGCTTATAATAAAATTCCAGCAATATTAATTTATTAAAAACTCATTAAAACTCCATAAAAATATAGTCTTTAAGCTTTATTATCACTTACAATCAATAGGTATGTAAAACCCCCAAATCAATTGTAAGTTAGAGTCCTAAAAATCAACACTTTAATAATTAAAAGCCTAACTTTTAATACTTTATAAAATCTGAAATTTAAAAATACTTTATAATATGAAATTTATAATCTTTAATCATTAAAAGACAATTGTAAAACTTACTAATCATATTTCAATAATTAAAATAAAAAACCCATAGTATAAATCATAGGAATAATAATTAAACAAGAGGAGAGTGAAGGGAGTATGACCACCGTGGGTGGCAGCCGGCGGAGGGTGCGGAGGTGGTGACGTGGCAACGAGGTGGTGATGTGGCAAGGGGAGCCGGCACTCCCATGCGTGAGAATTCACGCATGAAGCAAGGAGCAGCAAAGAAAAGAAAAGAAAGAACAAGAAAAAGAAGAAAAGAAAAGTAAAATTAAGAAAAGAAAACAAAGAAAATAAAATAAGGAAAAACAAAGAAAATAACACTTACCTCGAAAAATCTGACTTTTGAGTCTCTTTGTGTGGGAAAATTTTGGGGTTTGGGGGGATATTTATAGAGTAGAGAGTATAGATTAAATTTTGGGCTTAATAAATAAATCGACTTTAGTCATGAAATATTTGACCCACAAGGGTTCAAATAAAAGAATTGGGCTTACTTACATGAGATGGATGAGTCCACTAGGAGTATATAAGGATTGTTTACATACTATTGTTTAAATGAGGCCAAACAATTACTAAACGTTTAGCCCAAAATAAATTATACTTTTATAAAACTCAATAATTTAAATACTTTAGCCCTTTAAATATTTAATTAAAATACTTGAACCCTTAAAATATATTTTATAATTAATTAAATCATTTAAAATACATAAAAAAAATACGGAGTATTACATAAATTGTGTCAAAAAAATAGAATCATATATATATGTATCATGTGATCCATAATTAATAATGCGTAATTGTATCAAAAAATATGTTTGATGTGCTCGAGGAGATGGAGCAAAAAGAGAGAGGAGGATAAGAACAAGAAGTCTATTTTAATGAAGAGGAACCTAGTCCAACTTCTAATTGTAGTGCTACTGGACCTCCACCATTAGCAATACTATCTACTATCAAGACAAAGAGAGCAAGGACAGAAACCATTGAAGCGTTGAAAAGGTTTGCAAAAATTAGTGACATGATGTAGGGGTGAAACTAATACGGTTTAAAATCGAACCAAACTACAAACCAAACCGAATTAGTAATGTGGTTCGGTTTTTTTCTTAATATGGATGGTGCGGTTTGATAAACAAAAAAAAATTGCGGTTTGCAGTTAGTTTTGGTTTTAGGATTTGAAAAACCGAAATTCAAACTGAATTATAGGCCCATATTTAAATTATAGTCAAAATCTGATTTTCAGTCCTACTATATAAGGCCAAAGATAGATTATCTTGAGTTAGGCTCAAAAAAAGTTACAAATCAATGCTCAAAACACTATGCCCTAATAATTGTGGTGTGGTTAGGTTTTTTTTTCATAAAAAACCGAATTAAAAACGATGTGGTTTGGTTTGACCAAATAATTATATGTTGCGATGCGATTTGAAAAATCCCAAATAAAATTAATATGGATTGGTTTTGGTTTGGGCTATAAACCACACCGCAAATCGCTATATATCAAAATAAATATGATCTAACATAGCTAAGTATATATATCTATCATAGCTAACATAGCTAATGGTGATAGCTAACTGATTCAAACATAGCATTTGCAATTAATGAAATCCATAAATATATATTTAATCACTAAAGTCTTTGAGTTGTAATGATAGTTTCAAAAAAAGTTCCTCCATTTTGTTTTTAAATGAAAATTTATAATTATTTTTCCGTTTCATAATGATCGTTTTATTTTTGAAATCTTGACATGCACTATTTTAAGGTGACATAAACTCTATATTATATAACTTTAAACATATAAAATATAATATAGTTATGTTAGCTCGTATTTGATTCTATAGTGAGTATAATAGCTATGTTAAATATGATCTAAAATAATATATGAAAAATAAATATATCGATTTCCTTGTTGGTGATAAGGAATTCAACAATGTTGAGACCCAAGAATATGTTTTATACTCTATCACGCCCCCTCACATGAGAGCTCTTTGGACTTGAAATGTGGATGAAGTATTGGGCCCTCCGCATACCCTGCGCGAAATATTCCACTTGAAAGTGGGGGGTGGATAAGCTTCGAACCCGTGACCTTTATGTCACATTAGCTTCGATACCATATTAGAGGACCATCTCAACCAAAAGATTAAACTGATAGTTGAGGCCCATAAATATGTTTTATATTCTATGAGAATCAAATACGAGTTAACATAACTATATTATATTTTATATATTTAAAGTTATACAATATAGAAGTTTATGTCATCTTAAAATAGTGCATGTCAACATTTCAAAAATAAAATGATCATTATGAAACGGACAAAGTATTATATATTTTCATTAAAAAACAAAATGGAGGAACTATTTTTTGAAACTACCATTACAACTCAAAGACTTTAGTTATTATATATATTTATGGATTTAATTAATTGCAAGTGCTATATATGTTTGAATCAGTTAGCACACACCCATATTGACATTTGATTATTAGATTATTGAATACGAGTAATGGTTAGAACATGATTAGATGACGTAGTTATATCCTTTATTCTTTAATTATTACTATTCGGCGTCATAATACTTGTTAGCATGAATATTGGTACAAAACAAGATAATAGAGAAGAACGAAGCTACAGTTCTACCATACCCTTTGTTTTGGATGAAAACAATAGGACCTTTAGCAGGCCCTTTTCAAGGGAGAAGACTGATGTCGGTCCAAGTGATGATTGGGCCGAGGATTTCCAGCACATCAAACACACGTAAACTAGCCTCGCGGGTGGTTGCCGAGGAAGGCCCCCTTCGATGCTAAAGTCATTCAGTGTATTGAGAGTAAATACTATGCAAGAGAATTAATTGCTTGAGGCTGATCGTGAATGAATGTAAGAAGAGACCATTGATGACTTTTATACATTTGCTCAATAGAGGAGAACTGGGCCCTTAAAGTCAGATGGACTTGCTATGCTGACTGGGCTTGTTGACTTAGCATGCTTTTGGAGAGTTGAACCTTGCATTGGGATTTTTTTAATTAAATCCTTTGGGCCGACCCAATTAGGTTAATTGAATTGGACCCAAACAAATTTCCCCCTAGACCCGATTCGGAAAGATGACGGATCAGGTTTTGACTTGTAAGATGGAAGGAAACAAATGATTGTAATTTGGAAAGGGAATTCAGACAGTTAATGACGTGGTAACTGTCATTAAGGAGGATAATTGGGGAAGGTAGAAGATTTAGTGGGCAGTTACTTTGGGAATGTGTTTAACGGTTAGATTTAAGAGGAATTAGTGGGGTTCTTGGCGGTTTTAAGCTCATGGAATTCTTGATTCCAGCAAGCCTATATAAACCACCCTCACCGCTTTTTTCTAGCACATTTCGCAAACACAAACTCCCTGAAATTTGCCAACACCCTTGAGAACCTAATTTCAATTCTTCCTTATTCCCAAAAATCCGAAGCTTTAAAGTAAAATCTGTTGCCCCGAACTTAAAGATCGGCAAATTCCGCGCTTGATAAAGGTAATTTTCTTTGAAATTTCTTTGGTTTTCTTTACTTTTTCGAGTACCCCTCTTTTTTCCGATTTCTTGCACTTCCTTTGCTCAAAAATGGCCGGCAGCCGAGGAAAAAGGCGTATTGAATCTGAACCAATTGTTGAGGAAGAGGAGGGGGAAGTACCGCAATTGATTCCGAGGCGGAATTGCCCTTTGGCAATGATGCCCTTTCTTAGTGGCCAAGACCTTAATGCTAGGACTGGGCCTGCTGCTATCCCAAGGGGAGCTGCGCTGAGGGCTGTGCCACTTACTAGCGTACCCCCGAGAGATTCTGAAGGAGCCAGTACCTCTAGCCGAAGAGTGACTTTGGCGTCTAGGCCGTTAACTCCCGAGGAAAGGGAGTGGATTGATGTCTAGGAGAATGAGGGCGTAATGACTACTGCGCCTTATTCTTAATGGGTCGAGAATGACGCAAAGTATTGATTTGCCGAACAACTTGAAGTGTTCTATGGCATAATGGAGGAGGACGGGTATTGGTGCCGAATGCCCTCTACCAAGGACATAATTCATCGTCCTCTACCCGGATATATCGGGGTGTATACTCGGCAGTTTCAATATGGGCTTTGGTTCCCTGCCTATGCCTTTGTTGTGAAGTTGTTGAATGGGTACAATATTTCCCTGACCAGTTGACTCCTGTAAGCATCCGAAGGATAATGACTTATCTATGGGTCTGCTTGTTTCACAGGCTTGAGCCGAGCGTGCATAAGTTGATGCCGAACACCCAATCCAATAAATGGCATGTCCCTGGCTAGTGGCAAATTGAAGACGAAAGGGGGTTTCTTTCAACCTATCCAAGTGATACTTCAAACAAGGATTGGAGAGGGTAGTGGATCTGGATCCAAGCGTCTTCAGACGAAGATCATCTGAATTACTTCGGCGGTCCTCGATATTTAAGGAAGCCAGACCCTAAAATGTTAAGCATTGGCCCTGATGAGTTCACTGATGCTGACCACAAGCAGATGAAGTTATTTAGACAAAGTCATATACCTGGGGCTACTGGCCGAATGGCAAATATGCCAGCCATCCGGCTGCTTTGCTGCCACTATATCTTCCAAGAGAAGATTCTCGCTGTTGTCGGCCTCAGCCGAAGATACAAGGCGATAAAATATTCGGCTGGGGTCGAGGCTTTGTTATTTTCACTTATTTTCTTGCTCTCTGATGCTTAATCGTTCTCGGCCAAGCAGAATGTTGTCCCTTTAATTTTTCAGAGTTGTGCGAAGAAAACTCGGGCGTTGATTACAAAGTGCTTGGGATCAGCAAGGAAAGGAATCTAATCACGAACACCCTGAAGATAACTAACTCAAAGGACTTGGCCCTTTCCCTTAATCCAAGGAGGCTTCAGATTGTCAGTGCTCTCGAGTACCAGACATGGAAGCCTTGGTTCGAGAAAATCGACCCGTTTTTCCTTCACTCTACCGAAGAAGACGCAGCTGCAACTATCGCCGTTGTAATCTCCCGAAGCGGAGCTGAGCCTTCCACCTTTACAGCTGGGCCGAGGGTAGATAGAGATGAGGAAGAGGAAGATTATGAAGATAAACGTCTACTGAAGACTTCAGTATGGCTTCAAGACTTGTCTAGATTTCTTTTCTTTTTTGCTTTTCCTTTCGCCTTGCTCCTTCTACTTAGCTTTTATCTTTCGAAATTTTCTCAAGATTTGTCTAAGTACTAAGCTTCGGCTTGGTCTTTTTTTTTTCTTTTTTGTTGCTTATACCACTCTTTGCCCCCCCTATTCCTTCTGTTGTAGTCTGACGAAGGAGAAGAGAATAGAGGAGAGTTAAATCTCTCTTCAGACGAAGAAATGACGGGCCCTAAGAAGAAGAGGCGAGTTGTTCTGCCTGGCAATTCCAAGCTACCCCTTCTCCAATAGAAAAGCCTCGGCTTGAGGAGGACAAGCCGGAGGAATAGAAAGAGATGAGTCTTCCCCCTCTTGAGATCCGTGCCGAGGTGGAAAATTTGACAAAGACCCCTTGATGAGTGACATTTATGTTACCCTTAGGGGTAGTGTATTGATCTCTTTTCTCCTGTTTTTCTTAGGTTTTCTACCTCTTTTCTCCTCTTATGGCTTCCTTTTCTTTTATGGAT